CTCACTGTTGCTATATGTTCGCAATTCAATTGGACAAGTGGAATGATTCTAATCTGTTGCATTTATTACTATTTAGATAACGCCTAAGCTCTTCTTATATGACTTTCGGCTTCCAGCGTGTACTGTGCACCTTTTCATTTGTTTTTAGCTGTCCCCACCAATATTGGTTTTGTTGTTGGCATCATCTTCGTCTGCCTCGTCCTACTCATGGCCATCGTTTTGGCCGTTTACTTTTGCATGCGCAAGAAGGGCGCGGATCCAAAGTGGTAAACAGTCATTTCTGAGGCGCTTATATCTGCGTTCATTGCCCATCTGTCCAACTTTCCAAATAGCCTTGCAGATAAAAAATAGAGACTGATGGTTTAGAGACTACGTGCATATTTAATGTAGGAATAAGTGCATTAGTATAGAGGGTGCAACTTACCATTTAAATAAAATAAAGGAGGCAACCCTCGTGCTCTTATATGGCCCCAGAAATTATAACTTAAAATTATTTGTATGTTTTGTCGGTCCACCTGATTTTTGAGTATGCTTGTCTTCAAGGGCAGTTGAGCTAATACTCGTAGATATTTAGCTACATTTTTAAGGTCCTAGCACAAAGATCCCAGTTTAACTTTCTACCTTAACTTTTAGCGTATTTTAGGTTTTGCACTATCCAATACAGTCATTTTGAATATTTGATGCCACTTATGCCGTCCCTTTTTTGGATTTTTGTTTCGCTAACGGATTAGTTTCATTTCTATTCTTTTTAAATTTACTACGGGGCACCTGTGCATGCTAGGCAAAAGGATATGTGTCTCCTTAATGGTTAAATCTGAATTTTGGGCATTTTGTCTGTGTTTCCGTGTGGCTAAAAGAGCAGGTCCTATCTCTGACTATAACTGTGGTAACAATATGATTTCGAGACAGAAATACCAAAGATCGTAGTCTATGCCCATGTGATATGCTAACCGCAGTGTGTATTTGCTAAGAAACTTATGCTTAATTTGGGTTTTTATATTACTTATTGTGCAAAATTATCCAGAATATTTTTTTTTCGCGTCTGAAAGCTGGCATTTGAACGATAGTTTTCCCAGAAGCCTTGTGTGATGACGCTAGGGAAGAAGAAGCTTCAAGCCAATTTGTATCTTTCACACTCCTTTCTCCTACACTGGTAAATTCAAATATGGTATACTAAAAACTATCATAAGATGTTCTTTGTTGCACTCATTTGTCATCCAAGTACGCCTTCTTCAGATAATACGCCAGCAGATATTTTTCAGACAGCCGAGAGAAAACTTCGGACAAAAGTCGATATTGTGTGTTCGAAGAAGAATCGGTTGATTTGTTCTGAGAAAAAAATAGACATTTTAGTCGGCTTAAGGCGCAGCTGAATAAATGGTATCACTGTTTTCAGCAGGTATTCTCCTTGTCGTGTGTAGTTCTTACGTCGTAAGTGCTGAAATAATTGTCAGTATAGAATATGACACTGACCTGGCTTTTTGTTTAATTCTCCTGTGAGTAGGACAGTGCAGGATACTGTTTCAAGTCATGTTCCGGGGATTCTGAAACGCTGAAAGCCCTGCAGTTTTCATATTCTTCCTAGAAATGATCATTGAGGATTATTCTCATTCTTATTAGTGATGAAGGTGGACCGTTGATTACTAGCCTATGCTATCACAGGACTGAATACGCCAGCGTTCAGAGTGTGTACTGGGTGTATCGGCAATATCGGTGTATATTTAAGTGACCAGAAAACTATTTCTTATATTTTTTAAATGCTAGATAACTTTGCTTTTTTCGACACTATTCGTAAATAAGTCTCAATGTTTTAAAAGGTACAGTTATTGGCTGAGCTATACATTTATGTTAAATAACTTTCTTACTTGTCTTTTTGGGAGGCTGGGGTTTGGCTTTCAAACCCTAAACCCAAATTTTCCTTATACGCCTGGGTCTACACCTGACGAACGCAGGGCCTTCGTAGCCTACAAACGAGAAGATCTGCCTTCAGAGGACAGATCAGACATGTGAGTTGACCCATATTTTCTAAAACGTACAAAAATTACATTTTCTCCTAATTCCCTTATTCAAAATCAGAGATCAAACACCCACAAAAATGCCGGTGGATTTGGGACTTTTCTTCTCCAGACACTGCCTTCAGTGGATGCCAGTTTAAGCCGATACTGCTAATTTGGCCTTTAGTCCATTGCAACGGCCACCTGGCAGTCGAAAGCAGTCACTCATGCGAATTATTTCTCAGTAGTCACAAACGTCACTTGACTTCTCGTGTACTCCAGCAGTGCCTTCATTTTGTGTTATGTCAATCCATAATACACTTTTCTGATTTAAATCTTTGAAAAAAGACAATTTTGGCGGGCCTAAAGATGCAGAAGCAAAATAATAATAATCAGATGATTACATTGTCGATTATGATGGTGAGGAGAAGGAGAAGAACAAAACGCTACCGTATGTTCCATTTGCATTCAAACTCTACAAATTAAGTCCTCGGAAGTGCAAGATGCGATCACCGACAGAAGAAGTTTATTTGCCTGACGAGTTGG